GGGAAAGGGAGGGTCATAGTCTAAGCACAAGAAACAGTTTGGACAAAAGTTGGAGGTGACTTTTGCAAGGGGTGTTTAGAAATAATAAGAAGACCAGCTTACCTGGGGCAGAAGTTATGGGCTGGGAAATGGAAGGAGATTAACTCAAACAGGTGGGAAAGGAGTCTAACCTTAAACAGTCTTGCAGAAGATGGGAGCATTTTAGTCAAGATTCTCCAGAGAAAAAGAACCAATAGGATGGCTATATCCATATCCATCCACAATATTATATATTGTACCCATATATATATAAAGAGAGAGAGAGAGATCTTATAAAGAATTGGCTCACGCGATTTGGAGGCAGAGTGGGAAAGCTGGAGACCCAGGAGAGCGGTAGCATAGTTCTAGTCCAAAGGCCAGCAGGCTCAAGACCTAGGAAGAGCCGATGTTTCAGTTTGAGTCTGAAGACGGGAAAAGTTGATGTCACAGTTTGAGGCCATCAAGCAGGAGAAATTCTCTTACTCGCAGGCGGATGTGTCTTTTTGTTCTACTCAGGCCTTCAACTGATTGAATGAGGCCCACCCACATTAGGGAGAGCAATCTGCTTACTCAGTCTACCAATTTAAGTGTTAATCTCATCCAAAAACACTCTGACAGACACATCCAAAATAATGTTTGACTAAATATCTGGGCACCCCACTGCCCAGTCAAGTTGACACATAAAATAACCATCACAGAGAGCACGGACTTGAATCTGTGGACCAGTGTTTCCAAAATGTGGTTCATGAAGACCTAGACCAATGAAATACTCCACTGAAAAAGGTTCTGTGAAAATATCACTCTTAGAAAATGCTGCATACTAAGGCATATCTATCAAGCTTCGAATCCTCCCGCAGGAAAGAAATGGCTCATAACTTTGTCAACCTAGCATTTCCCTAGGGTTTGATCACAGAACCTGTTTTTTACTTGACGCCTATTAATTTCTCATGGAACTAACATACTAACATAACACACTTTGGGAAAAGCTACTCCAAGCCATGGGAAGATAATATAGATTTGGAACCTGGAAAAGAACATGAAAAGAGGATTAGTAAGACAAATTTGGCATAGCGCTCAGAGATATTAAAGGAAGGAGAGCCTGGAAGCAGAGACACCAGTGAGGAGGTGACTTCAGCAATCAAGGTCTGAGGTGATAGAGGCATGTACGCAGGTGGGAATGATGGAGGTGAGGAGGAGAAACAAAATAAGACATTTAATGGAAAAGTGCTTGCATATATGGATTATGAATAGAAAAGAGTTGTAGAAAACTCTAAAGTTTAGAGCTTGGTAAGTGAAAGTATAAATAGCCACTGATGAAAAAATTGTAAGGAAAGACTGGTTCAAGGGCAAAAACACAATACGTTCAGTTTTCAACATGTCGAGTTTGGAGTCTTGGTAGACAGAGGGCTGTAAGAAATATCTAGAGGTTTTGAGAATTATGAGACTTGTGTGAGAGTTATCAAAATCATAGATCAGTTTGGGAACCACCAGCATAGTTGGAAACTAAGCCACAAGGGTACCTTCTTACCCACATCTCCATTTCCCTCTGCCAGGCCAACCCCTTCTCTTTGAAAAGGGTTTCCTTTCTTTTTTTTTTTAAGATTGGCCCTGAGCTAACATCTGTTGCCAATCTTTCTTTTCTCCTTCTTCTCCACAAAGCCTCCTAGTACATAGTTGTATATTCTAGTTGTGGGTCCTTCTAGTTCTGCTATGTGGGACACTGCCACAGCATGGCTTGATGAGCAGCGCTACGTCCACGCTCAGGACGTGACCCAGCAAAACCCTGGGCAGCCCAAGCGGAGCTCGCGAACTTAACCACTTGGCCACAGGGCCAGCCCCATGGGCTTCCTTTTGAGGGGCATGCTTCCTAAGCCAGCTTCAGGTCCTCCTAAGAAGCCTCACAAAGGAGCACTGAATTATATCCATGCCTGAGGATGGCTCCGGGCTCCAGGGTAGTAACCAGGCACCATCAGCAGTTAGTTTAAGGAAATAAGTCCTGGAGGAAGCTCTTTAGATGTGCAAGGAGGATTAAGTTTGGAATTTCACCACATTTATAGAGCACAAGTCAACTGTTGATAGAAACATTATGCCCTCCTTGTCACTTGCCAAAGATATGCTCTACTATAGAACCTCTCATTATTATGAAATCCCAAAGCCCAAGCCACCCAGATACCAGGAGGCTTTAAACAAATTTCATAAGCTAAAAAACATGCTTACAATCTTCTGGCTGCCTGTACTTACGAAAATATGTTTGAGCATCGTCAACCAATTCAGTAAATACTTACAGAGTGCCTACTGTGCACTTGGCCCCAAAATGACCCATGGACTTTTTCCTTGTCATTCACACTAGACCTCTGAAGTCACACAGTCCCATATTTGAATGCCAGTTGTAACCTCTGCTGGCTGTATGATTCTGAGCAAGTTACTGATCTGCTCAGGGCCTTGGTTTTTTTATCTACAAAAATCGGATAAAGATACCTCATTCATTTATTTACGCATTCATGTGTAGATTCATTCATTCAACAAATACTTTTGAGCTCCTACCATGTAGCTTTGCCTATACCAAGTGCTGGGTACTCCCACAAGTGGTAAAAGAAATAGGTGTAGGAGAGGAAAAGGTTTTTCTTCGATCCTCTTCGGGTGCCTGGCTGGGTCTGAAAACTGAACTGACAAAGGCAGATTAACAGGAGAAAAGCATACGAATTTATTTAACGTAAGTTTCATGTGACCCAGGAACCTTCCTAAGGAAATGAAGACCCAAAGAAACAGTGAGCCCTGGGTATGTTTATGCCAGGCTTGATGGAGACTGGACAGCTGTGGAGGAATAGGATAGGGTAGGAGTATGAGGCCTTACTTAGCAAGGCCTGTTTGTTAGGATTCTTCTCAGCATCCTTTTGTCTCCAGATATAATGATGCTCCTTCCCTCCAGGCACAGGGAAGGTCTTACGACCTCTTCCATGAAGGCTTTATGACTTGTTTCAGGACAGATGGGCAGAGAGAAGGCCAGACTGACCTTCTTGCTTCTGCCATGTTCCCAAACTCCTTCAGCTTACAATACTTAATATGCCAAGTTGCCATATTTTGGGGTAATGTGTCCTGAACCCCCCCATCAGGGACCATCACAGGACAGTTCCTGTAGCTTTGGAGTTCAAATCTTACTGGGTTGTTAGGAAAATCAAATGAGACGATATGTGCAAATTGCAAGATAGAAGTCACTCTGTAAATGCTAGTTTCCTTCTGAAGCATACCAGGATGCGTCATCCAAAATATGTCTCTTTGGCATGTGAATTATTTTGAGCTAAAGGCAACTGAGAACCAGCAGCGGCAGAAAAAACTCTTTGCCTCCCCCAACTGCCTAAAAATGAATATAAATTTCCCTTTTTGTAAAGGAAATTTATACTTATAAAAGAAATTTCTGTTTGTAAAGGTGTCTCTGTACCAGGAAGAGACAAGTTTTTTTATCACCTGCGAGACTCTTAACTGAATAACAAGACAACCCACCTTTACCACGTATCTCCCCCCCTCGCCTTCCCAAAACTTGCCTCCCCCACGCAGAAGCCCAAAGCCCCTTTTCCTTTGTCTAGCCTAAGATAGTATACAAGCCTCAGCCATCTGGCCACCTGCTTGAGTCTCATTTCTTTGTGAAACTCCCACGTGTACCTATGTAATTAAAACTGGTTTTTTCTCTTGCTAATCTATTACCAGTTTGATTCATGGGTCCAGCCGGTGAACCCTGGAGAGTAGAGGAAAAAAGTTTTTCCTCCCCTACACATCTTTCCTATAGACCATGGGACACAAACTCAAGTGCCTATGGTGGCCAACAGAAATGCGTGCAGCAGCGGGGACTGTGGCAATGTGGAGAGCTCGTGCCCCAACTAAAGGGCAGTGACCCACTCAGCATCAGCCTGTCGTTTTCAGGAGGGGAGGCAGGTCCAGTGTTCCAGATCTTCCAGTTTTAAAAAGAAGCAGGAAACCTGGATGTGAAATATCCCTGTTGTTAAATGTTGGCAACTTATTCCAAATTCTAGGTAGACCAAATAAAATACATATAACCCAGGCACGGCCCGTTTGCAATTTCCGGTACAGACTAACCCCGAGCAGGCAGGGCACTCAGATAACTCCTGATTTTAAGTGTCCTCTGAGGCATTCTGCGGGAAGACTAAGGCACCCTCCAGTAAAATCCTTATTTCACTTCAGCTGAGTCTCAATCAATCAGCATAACTCTCTTCACGCTCCAACGAAACAGCAACCTGGTGTGACAGGATCATTATCATCAGAGGAAAGGACAGTCTCACCATGGGTCATCAGCTTGCATTATATAAATGAATCTAAGGGCTGGATAGAAGGAAACAATGAAAATGCACTCAACAGGGCAGTGAGGCACAAGCAGTCCAGGAACCGAATTGTGCTGATCGGACTTAAAGGGCCAATCACAAATACGCTAGGAACATTCAGTCAGCGCTTTCAGGTGATATTTTCCCAGTGTGATATTGCTTTCATGCTTCCTTTGTCTCTGACTCATTCTTTCCAGTTCAAACTATCTTGTTTATAGAGTTAATATCTGGCACTATTCCTCTAAAGAGCTCACAATTTCCCTCTGTCTTCTCTTCTCCCTCCTGCTTCAGAGCAGGGCAGATGGAAAACCAAATAATAAACAATGACACATGTAAAAAGATATGGATATTTATAATGCTTCAGTTTGGGGCCCCAAATGAAGCTGGCGTAACAGACACAAACTTGGAGCTGCCTCATCCCTTCTAGAAGAGTCTAAGCACTGCTGACTCTGACATACACCTTGCTTTATAAAACTCAGTAATTATAATTCTGTACTAGAGACTCATATTTCCCCCCTTAACGTGTTTCTTTTATTCTGCCACTTAAGGGTAACTGGGCATTCCCTGAGTCAGAGATGACCCTGATAGACCTGAGTCATCTAGAAGTCCACCATATGCTCTGGGAAGACCAACATCCAATAGTCTTACCTTTTGGGAAGGTTTGGGGACGATGAAACTGGTACCAAGCCACATTCCGTGATGTGCGTGGGACACAAGAGCCCCATGGAGGAGATGTTGAACACAGCCCACACTTGTGATATACTACAGTCCTGTATGATGGACAGGGAGTTCCTTAAAAAAGGTCAGAATGTTAGATGAGACAATAGCGCCACTAAGAGAAAATCACCATGAATGAAGGAGTCTGGCAGGGTGGATGTCTTAGTCAGCGCAGGCTGCCATAACAAAATATCATAGCTAAAATAAATATTTTGATTAAGTTTTGTGAGAATGAAAATGACTTTCATGGGAACCTGAGTTTCGTGGTACCCTATGTGTTTGGTGGCAAATAGCCTCTAAATTGCCAAACATAGTGGGAACTTTTCAGCACTTATATTACTTGACCTCTCTGGCATCTGATATTGTTGACAATTCCTCCCTTGAAATTCTCTCCTCCCTTAACTTGCTTTTCCCTCTGAACCCCTCTGGCCACTTTTGGTATGCCATGGCCGAGCCTAGTGCAGGTGCAGAGGCAGGAAGAAGAGAGAACACACGAGGATGTGCCTACGGCATGGCAAGCAATTGCCTTCAGAGGTAGCACCTAAACCCTTGAGGGCTGCCAGCCCTCTTCCCCAGCATGAAGAGCAGTGAGCGGCAGATCAGACTTGAGAGGGACTGTGCCAACCCTGAACTTAGGTCACGACTCCGTGGGGAGCAGACGAAACTCCAGTCTACTCCTCACTTACATTCTCATTTCCTGTGTCTGTTGCAATGCTTGCTTGCAGATTTGGTAGTAAGCTTAGATGAAAGCAACCTTAAACTTGCCCAACTGGTCATTCTCGCCAGGCTTTGAACCTGGATTAGCCCATTATGGGCTGGCCCAGCTCACCACTCCTCAATATTCTCAGTGACCTACTTCCTCATCCTGTCTTGAATTACTGCTGTTCCTCAGGTTTTCTGCTCAGCCCTTTTCTCACTGTACACTCTCCAGGCAACACCCAGTTTTAAGAATCACTCATATACTGATGATCTCTAGTTCTGTCTCTACTGACCAGATCTGAGCTTCAGACTCATGTCCCACAACTTGGTACACCTCCCACAAACCCCTCAAACTCCAAGTGTCCAAAATTGAACTGGTTCTCTCACTCCACAATCCGATCCTCCTCTTATATTCTCTTTCTTGGTCAGCTGGACCTCCATTAACTTAGCTAAACAAGCTAAAAAACCAAAGCCTTATCATCAGAGTTGGCTCTGAGTTTATTTAAATGCATTATTTGAAGGTACAATAAGGATATGGATGAATCATGCTGGCTCTTTTAAAAGATCAGTTTTATTATTGACTTGAATGTGTGGTGTGTGTTTATAATTCTCATAGAACTACTGAATATGTCTTCAATCAGCTTTTCCTTCTCTAGCCACACTGCCATATCCTTGGTTCTTTCTTGCATTGTCTTTTCCCTAAACCATTGCAGTAACCTCCCATCCAATCTCCTTTATTCATATTCTTCTAACCACTGCTGCCAAAGTGATCTTTTTCGTTTCAAGTATATTTAAATCTCTTTTCTTATTATAGAAGTAATACATGTTTATTGTAGACATTTGAGAAAAGTCTGTAATAGTACAAAAAGATAATCACTATTAACATTGTATTATATATACTTCCAGCCATTTTCTATGAATAGACATACATCTTTGGATGAAAATGATTATATTATACATACTTTATATGCCCTACATTTTAAAATTAGTGCTGTGAACAATTTCCTAATAGAAAAAGTATTTTAAAATATGCTATAATAAACATCTTTGTACATGCATCTTTGTTCATATTCACAATTATTTCTTTAGGAGTGGAATTGCCGGGTCACTAAGGATGCATATTTTTAAGACTTTGAACCTGTTAACCAAATACTCCCCAGAAAGGTTTTATTCATTTATTATACTTCCGCCAGTAGAGTGATCATTTTAATGTAGAAATCAGATTGTTACTCAAAGCCTTGGAAGAAAGTTACAAGGTTCAAGAACACAAGACCAGAGAAGGCTCAGAAGTCAGTCATTTAGGCCAGCACGTTTCCAAGTATAGCTGTGACCGCTAGCGTCTTCCTGTTGAACCACAAAGAGATCAAAATATGCAAGTTCTTTCTTCAACTCTTAGAGCAAATGCCATGCAAGGCCAGGGACTTTCATTTTTACATATGACAAGCTACTTCATAGCTTCCTTCGTTAATTATTAAGAGTGATTAAAATTTTATATTCACCAAAAAAAGTGCAGTACTGCCAATTACTGAAAATTTTGGCTGTCACTGAAGGCTTGATGCACATTTTCTGCTGCACATGTGACAACGTAGACTGTTGGAATTTCTACAATTTTCAAGAAGAATGCTTGTTCGGGGGGAAGGTGGAAGGACTTCATAATGTCTTGAGTTTCAAATACAGTCCTTCTTGTATGTGTTATTTCACATGTCAAATATTGTTGTTTTTCTGTTTTGGATCATTTTGTTGATGCATAAACATTATGATGTTGCCGTTTTGAGTTCCTATTTTGTTCCTCTCTAATTCTTTGTTATCATCAAATTCTTTTCACACGAGAAATGGAACGGATGGGTTAGGTGTATTGTGGGGTCTTTTGTGCCAATAAATTAGCAGGTTTGAGAATCAATGGTCTGAATGCCTCAAAATCTCCCTACCCTGAGTCTAGGTTGGTTTATTAAGTTGGTTGACTAGTAAAGAAGGTTGGTAGATTATTGCCTATAAGATGATCATGAGTTTGAAAGAAGGAAAGAAAAACAGAGTGGCTGAAAGCAATTTTGAGGAAAGGTGACAGGAGGTTCACAGACTCGCCCTTTCTCCTCCCAACTCTCAGTTTTTAAAACACTGGTCTTATGTGACAGAAGAATATATGCAGGAATATATGTTCTAAGAATGTATAACAGGACTCTATCAAACATTAGCAGGGCTAAGAGGTCGGAGCTTCCTATTAGCTTAATCAAAACATAAACAAGGCTGTGCTGAGAACTGCATCAATACTGTTTTGTCCTTAGCCCAAGCAACCCTGCCACCGGCCTGCAGATTCATGAAACGCCTGATTTGAATCTGAAAGACTAGCAGGAAGGAGGAGAGAGATCTTCCCACATACGTGACCATTTGAGGAAATGAAGACATCTGTATAATTGGTTCTGTTGATAGGTCCAAAGCCTCTTATTTTCCCATCTAGCCCTGGGAAGTCGTGTTTTTAAAATGTAGGGGATTTACCTCGACAAACAGCTTATGAGAGGATATGGGAATCTGATTTCCACCAGTCCAGCTTGATTTCAAACGGGATTCTGTAATGTTATCAGCCTGAGAAAGAACTGGTCCAATGTGTGGTAGTACATTTCCATTCCCTTGTGGAGAGAAAGGGGAAGAGAAAATTGGTTAAATCAGTTCTACTTGATTCTGCTCACATTTCTTCTGCCAGAAGTAGTGCGGTTTCTCACCAACAGGCACCAGAAACATCCCCACGCTCAGAGACAGTCACGGACAGGTATTTGTTAGGCTATAACTTAATGAGCTTGCTAGTTTTCACCATCTAGGCCTCTGGTTAAAATATTCAGCAGCACTAGAATTGGGCTTACCTCAATAGCAAAATTTTATGCACAGTTCTAGGTCAGCTATGAATCACAAATAGTTATATTTCAACCAAGACAAAGTTCCAAAACCTTTTTCCTGCACAACCTCCAAGGTAAGGTGAAATAACACCTATGAGGGTCCCTGGCAGGCCACAAATAAGGGTAAGAGAGAAGATGCAATGACAGAAAAAGAAAAAAATGAAGAAAGGGACAAAGCCTGTAAAAGAAAAGGGAGAAAGACTAAAAGTAATAGAACATTTTAAAAGATAAATGTGAGTGATCTCACTTATTACAGTACTGACTTGTCATGGGTTATATTGATTGAGCATCATCTACTCTAAGCCAGACACTGTTGTAAGTGCTTTCACATGCATTATTTAATTCACTCAACACACATCCACTGCACATCTTCTGTGTGCCAGGCACTGTTCTAAGCAAAGAATATTCTGTAGAGAACAAAACAGATGAAACATCTCGTCCTTCTTGGAGCTTACATTTCAGCAGGGAACATCTTATTTAATCATATCAATAAGGAAAAGAGGTAAGAAAAGCATGGTGAGAAGGGAAAGGATATGTATGGACAGAAGAAGAGAGAATTTAAGAAAGGAGACATAAAGGAGACAAAAGCTAGAGTAATGTGTCATTCTTGGGGCTCTGAGATGCTAGATTAAAAGGAGAAGTCTCTGTTCCTGCCTCAAATCCTGCAACATAAAGGCTTTGGGAGGTCCTATCACAACCAATTTAGTGAAAAGTCTGAATTGTTTTAAGAAATATGCCTTTATATTATTTCAAATGTATATGGCAATTTGAAATGCTAGCGAAGTTTTTCTGAGTACATACCCAGCAATATTCTGTTTCTATAAAAAGACAAGATATATTTGTAATAAGCAGTGTTCATCTGCACACATAACCCTCATTTCTCCCAGTCTTTCCCAGTGAAAGGGGAAAAACAATCAATGACCTAAGAAAAGATGAACTAGATATTTGGCTGAATTCCTTACCAGCACCAAGTATAATACAAGTAGATACCATTTATTAAGGACTTTCTATTTGCTGCGTAACAAACCATCCCCAAACTTAGTAGTTTAACAATGATTTATTCTTTTTTATGACTCCCTGGGTTGGCAGGTCAGTTCTGGTCTTGTTAGGCTCGCTCATGTGGCTGCATTCAGATGGTGGGTTCAGCTGGGACACTGGCTCCTTGGTGCCTCTTTCTCCGGGTGGTCTCCTACCATATAAGAGTCTAGGCTGGGCTTCCTTACAGTGGCACAATAGTCCAAGAAAAGAAAAACGGGAGCTGCCATGCCTCTTAAAACCTAGGCTTTGAACTGGCCAACGATGCATCTGCCAAATTACCGGATTGTCAAAGCAAATCATAAGCCCAGCCCAGATTCTAGGGGATGGGAAATGGATTCCACCTCTTGTTAGGAGGAGTAGTGGTACTTACAACAATGAGAAGAATTGTTGGCAACCATCTTTGTAAGTAATGTGCCTCATTTGCCACCTGCCAGAAACTGCACATTGTCTCAAAGAATCTTCACAGCAACTTATGAAATAGTCACCCTTTTATGCCTGTTTTATAATTAAGGAAAAGTAGTTCCTGAAAGGTTAAATATCCTCCTATGAGTAGGTGGCAGACCTAGGCCCAGATCTTAACCATCTTAGAGTTCCAATTCACAACGGTCCTTCAATATGAGGGAAATAGAGTTAGAGCATTTGCATCCCATGGTTCCTCTCCCTGAGGGAAGCAGGAAAGCATAGTAGTGAAGAGCTCGCACTCTGGGGTCAAACGCCTTGGTTCGAATCTTGGCTCTGACTTTCATTACTGTGTGACTTTGGGCTAGTTAGCTTCAAGTTCATCATCCATAGAACAGGGCTGATAACAGTATTCACCCACAGGACTATTATGAGGAAATGCATGTAAAGCACTGCCTGGATAGAGCATGCGCTCCACAAATGCCAATCACTTTTGTTGTGCCCTGAGTGTCTTGATTCAGTTTACCATGAATCAAGCAGTACTGCAGTCCATGGCCTTCAGGGCTGTTGCCAACCAACGATCCTGTGTCTACATGACTTGATCATCACTGTCCCTGCTAGCCTTGCTTCTGATTCTGCTTTGCCTCTGGACCCATGCTGCCGCTGCAGTGACCGCTCTTGATGGTCCTGCCCTGCTGTGGTCCCTCTCTGCTCATTTGCTGCACTTTCTGGTTCCTTCTGGGGTTGCCACTTCATGCTAGAGATGTGGCGGCTGTCCATGTTAACCTACAACAGTCTCCCTTTGTTGGTGCTCTTTTAATTCTTCTCATCACGCAAAGGGGGAACAGCTCTCAGAGGCTAACCCTATTAATACCTTGTTTTGTCTTTGATTATATGCAAAAGGCTCACTAACATCCCTTTCTAACATTACAGGAGGAGGGAACGGAAATTTCACCAGTTCAGGATACTGGCTGGATATTTCCTGTACTAACTCAGTTCCTCTGCTGTTGTCTGCGCTTTGAAACAACTGCAGTGTTTCAGAATGAGTAACCACTAGGTGGCAGGGGTGTTTCGCTCCCCAGCTCATTATCTTCTTTCCCCTTGTAATCTCAATTACAGCCAAGACACAGTTCCTTTCAAAACGAATGAGTTGCTTTTAAGTCAACTTACTTATCCATTTGAAGTTGAAGGTGAACAACAAATTTCATGTACATTCTCTCGAAAATTCACTGTGATGTCACTAATTCCATCGGAAAGCTCTCACAGGAGTTAAATTACTAAAGCAGTTTTATAGCCTTCGGCCTGAAAGGGCATGAGAAAAGCAAATAAACCTCACCTTGTTTAGGGCATGGCCAAAGCTGATTGTTTTCCTTTCTAGTTGTTAACAGCCGACAGGCCAAAGGTCCACTGGGTTAAGAGTTCATGGGACTGTCATTTCATTAAATAGGATTGTAGATACATCTCTCATTTCCCAGTGAGATCCCGAAAGGTTTTCTTGGGGAGATAGAATTTCAAGAGCTTCTTGAGTGAGAAGCAGGTGTAGGGGCATCCTTCTTTCAATAACATCCCCACAGGAATCCAACTTGCCAAGTGGAACTCTCATTTAACAAAATAGTTTGGGAGGTACAAAGGGAGGAGAGGTAGAGGAAAGGCCAGGAGTGCTGATAAAACCCTCAAACTATATTTGAAACAAACTATATTGGATTGTAACTTTAATGAGAGGAGAAGAAAGGGGGAAACAGAATGGTAGGGATGTTAGGTTAAATCTCAAGTACCACAACAGAGTCTGTAGATAATGCCTAAAACTGAAAAAGCAAGAAAAAGCACTCTAAGCATGTTATTTAGAGACAGGGAGGAAGTCACCATGTGAAGTAAAGGCAGAAGTGGTCACCAGTCCTCGCCTGCAGAGAAGAGCGGAGGACGGGGTAGGGCTGGGGAGTGGGTGTACTGTTCCACTTTCTAACCACGACTTTGTTTTACCCTTAAGAATAGATAAAGACAGACAGCTCTTAGGGTAAAATAGATATCTGGGTTCATGGGAACAGTGACCACTGAATTCCTAACTGTGTCACCGTATCTGATAGGAATTATCAAATTCAATCATTTGCTTATTTACTTAGGGGTCACTTTAGTTTACTATTTACTACTGCCAGTCAGAAAGAAATGAGAGGCTTCAATTTCCACACGTATGTGTTACTTATCCAAAAATGGCATTTTTGAGCAAGGATCCACTTTAATCAATATTTTCACAGATCATCAGGGTTTTTCTAATATAACTAAAATACTATGACTCTTTGCAATAAACCAGAACTAGAACTCTAAAGAGCAAATGTGTCCATTTTCACTTCCTTTGTAGCACTTTAGCCCAAGTTCTTGAGCAGGCCTCCCGCAGCAGAATATCGGCACTCTAGATCAGCAAATCTGCCAGGTCTGGCCCTCAAACTTCCTGTCCTTCACCTTCTTTTCAAACCCACACCCAATCCATCCGCAATGATAGGTCACCCTTCAGAACACACCAGAATTTGACACTTCTCACCATACCAACTCCTAATATGCTAGTTTGAGCGAACATCATCTCTCACTTGGACGACTGAAATAGCCTGGTAGCTGCTGCCATCCCTGTCCCCTACCATTCTCCACACAGCAGCCACAGTGATCGTTTTCTTTAAAAGGAAGTCATGGTGATAACTTATAAAACATTGGCCTATATGATGTACCCACCCCATCTCCTCTTCTCTCTCTTCCCCTCATTCACTCCTCCTCAGCCACACTGGCATCCTGGCTCTTCCTAGACCCTGTCGAGCATGTTCCTGCCCTCTGCCTGGAATGCTCTTCTCCCAGATATCCAAATAGTTGGCTCTCTCATTTCCTTCAGACTGTGCTTTGTCACCTTATCAATGAGGCCTTTCCTGACTATCTGATATAAAACAGGCATTCCTCTCCATCTCTCCAGCACTCTCCATCCCCCCACCTTGCTTAGTTTTTATCCATCATACTTATCATCACAGGAACGTTATGTATACATCTTCTGTATTTTCTGTCTTTCCCATTAGAATATAAGCTCTAGAATAGGAGGTCAGAGAATTAGGGACTTTTTTTTTCACTGCTGTATCCTCAGTGCCTAAAAGAGTGTCTGACATGTAATGGATGATCAATAAATTCTGTTAAATAACAGAACTTAATATGATACTACGAGCAGATAAGATGTCTTAGAATAATGTTCCCCAAGTGTGAGACTTATTTATAGAGATGATTTTAGATAGTATAAAGGTATGCATTAAATAATACACAGTCAGGTGGAGAAAATCTTTTCAATGTTTTAATCCCCCTCATTATGTCAAGAAGGTCTAGTGCTAGTTTGTCACTAATACTTGATAATTTATCCCTTTAAAGTATAGAGAATGGGCCTTACATTTAGAACCTACTAAGAGCCTTTTGTAGGGAACAGTATCTGGCCAGAATTTAATAATCTTGTTTGGTTTTCATTCTATTTATTTCTAAGGGAACCATCTATTTCAATTATGTGCCTGGCAACATGTTAATCTCATTTGAATCTTGCAACAACTCTTAAGAGAGAAGTATCATTTTGCATGTGAAGAAACTGCAGTAAGTTTCCCATGAGACCAAAGTTTCTTTTGAGATAAAAATTCATATAACATAAAATTCACCATTTTAAATATTTTAAAGTGTACAATTCAGTGTTTCCTAGTACATTCACAATGTTGTGGACCCATCACTACTATCTAATTCCAGAACATTCTGATCACACCAAGAAATCCCACACTCTGTAGCTATCACCCCCATCTCCTCATTCCTCCCAGCCCAAAACAACCACTACTCTAGTTTCTGTCCCTATTCTGGATATTTCATACAAACGGAATCATATACATGGTTTTGGGGTGTGGCTTCTTTCACTTAGCATATTTTCCAGGTTCATCCATGTTGTATAGCATGTGTCAGGACTTCATCCCTTTTTTATGACTGAATGATATTCTATTGTACAGATATAACACAGTTGTTTAGTCATCAGCTGATGGACATTTAGGTTGTTTCCACTTTGGGGCTATTACGAATAATGCTGCTAGGCATATTCATGTACAAGTTTTTGTTTGAGTACCTGTTTTCAACTCTCTTGGGTATATACCTATGAGTAGAATTGCTAGGTCATATGGTAATTGTATGTTTAACTTTTGAGGAAAGGCCAAACTGTTTTCCGAAGTGGCTGTACATTTTAAAAGCATTCCCACCAGCAATGTATAAGCCGTCCATTGCTCCACATCTTCACTGGAACTTGGAACTGTTCATTCTTTAGAAACTTTAGCCACTCAGCTATTTCATTGCAGTTTTCAAATTTTCCTAACCACCAGCGAAGTTGAGCATCTTTTCATGTGATTATTGGCCATATGTGTATCTTCTTTGGAGAAATATTCAAGACTTTGCGCATTTTAAAACCGGGTTATCTTTTTGTTGAATTGTAAAAGTTTCCTTCTAAAATAACAACTTAAAAACATGTATTTAAAGAGAAATATTAAGTAAACAATAGCGCAATTGGTGCAAAAGCAGTAAAGGCAATATATAACTCAGGGACCCGTTTGAGCAACACTGGCTCAGACACTAAAAACAAGAATTCTGGAGTCACACCAGTCAGGTTCAAATCTCAGCTCTGCCTCTAAAGCGCTGTGCGTGACATTTTGGGCAAGATATTTAACCTCTTTAAGACTCAGATTCTCCCGCTTTAAAACGGGGATGGCCCATGCGACTTCAAAGAGTTGTAGGAACGGATGAAATGACACATGTGAAGCGCCTACTCAGTGCCTGGCACGGCTACGCACTCTATAAACGCCAGCTACTACGATGACAGGCGACGAAGCCCGCGGGGCTCCAGGTCCAGCTGGCCGAGTATCCCGGCCCGCGGCAGGACAGCGCCGCTCCACATTCTGCGCCACGGCGCAAGGCTTTCCCGCGCACGTTCTCTGCCTGACCTCGCGCGGCGCCCGCCCCTAGTCCGGGGCCGCTGCACCAGCGCCACCTGACTTCCGTTTCCGGCGGTGTCGGGGTGGCTTCCGGCGGCGTGACCTGGGCGCGCTGGGCTGGCGGGTGCCGCAGCCGGAAGGGTCTGCGCTGGCCACCGGTAAGCGGGCGGCGGGTGGGAGTGGCCGGGTGCGGCGCCGCTGACCTCGGGAGGGAGGGGCGACCTCCGTCCTGCCACCGGGGCCAGCCGCGGGCTGCGTTGAGCCCGGTGCCACGGCGGAGCCCTTCGCGTTGCCTCTTCCCGGCCTTGCCCGGCTCTCGGGATTCTTGCGACGAGGGCCCTGCGGCTGGGAGTCGAGACCGTGCCCGCTGATTGGCTCTCTGATCTCGGACAGGCTGCGTCCTATCGTGGGCTTTAGCTACCTTGTTTGGAAGATGGAGGTCGTGTTCGCGGTGACTGTGAGCTCCTTAAGGGCAAGAACCGACTTGCGTTAGTGTTAAACACCGTTGCCTGTCCCGCGCACAGAACGAGGACGAAGTATAGGTACTCTGTGCCTACTTGAGTTGTTTTGGGTCCCAAAACCTTGAAAATCTGGTGAGAGCTATTGATCCCCACCTCTCACTTCTCAACCCCCCCGCCATGTTCAGATACAGAAATTTTGGTTTACTGTTTCAGATATTTCGTAGATCTCTATGCCCATCCCTGGATCCCAGAGCCTGGTCTTTAGTATGCCTTCAGGTATTTGTAGCCATTAGATAGTGGATGTTCCGTTAATCAGATTTAAACGCATGAGTCACTATCCGTTTCACAGGAAGGAGGAGGATATCCTGTTAGCAAGGTTTAATGATGAGCCTGGCAGTATGCTGTTCTCTCTCGTCTTCCAGCAGCTCTGGGAGAGCGGTCTTATTTAAATCCCGTTTTGCAGATGAGGAAATTGAGGCGTAGGAGAATTAACTTGTTTTAGGTCATTCATCCTACGAACGATGAGGGCAAGAATTCAAACCCACTTCTGTCTGAGACTCCAAAGCCCCATGTTCTTAATTACTAGCTAAAAAAGAACTAGATGCAGAAATGTATTTGAATGTGCTCTCACAGCCTCTGTTCTGGGGTTGTTAAGGGTTGTAGTTATGAAGTGGCTATCATCAACATCGATGATTCCGAACTAAACATTGCATGCTGTGGAAATACTCTTACTTGTCTGCCTCCTTTTTTCTGTAGTATCTGTAATGCTTGTTTAATAACATCATATTTTACCTTCTGCACTCTGTGCCCATGTTATTCAGTCCTTCTGTCTTTGGTGAATGTTGGTTCAGATGTGTTGACTGAAAATGGTTATATCAGTTGTGTTGCTTTGTTCTTCCAGTCTTCTAAAGCAGATGGGGGGGGGGGGCAGGAAGATTGGCCCTAAGCTAACATCTGTTGCCAATCTTCCTCCTTTTGCTTGACGAAGATTGTTGCTGAGCTAACATCTGTGCCAGTCTTCCTCTATTTTTGTATGTGGGATGCTGCCACAGCATGGCTTCATGAGCCATGTGTAGGTCCACACCCAGGATCTGAATTGGCGAACCCCCAGTGTCCAAAGTGGAGCCTGCAAACTCAACTGCTACGACACCAGGCCAGCCCCCAGCTGTTTTTAATTATGGTTGAAATATGAGGTGGTAATGTTTGGGCCTTCCTTCTTTTTCTTTTCTGTACTAATTTTAAAGGGACTGTATCAGGAACCTTGGAACCACTGCCAACATGTCTGACGTTCAAGAAGCCACCAACCAGCTCCTTGATGTGAGCCTTCATGAGAACCAGGAGTCTATACAAGTGATGGAAAGTGGCCCCAGAAGTGAGTCCGAGCAATTCCAAGTCACTATTGGAGCCACTGTACCTACTGGCTTTGAGCAAACAGCTGCAGATGAAGTGACAGAGAAATTGGGGTCATCATGCCAAATCAGCAGAGACCGGGGCAAGATATATTTTGACATTTCAGTGGAAAGTCTGGCTCAGGTTTGAATGAAGCAATATTTAAAATCATTTCCTTAGTAGGTCACTTTATGGTTACTTTCTGGTTTACAGACCCCTCTGGAATCCTTTTTGCTTTTCTTTGCTCTCCCCCAGTCAGGTGAATTTAGAGTATTACTGCATTTTCTATTGGCTATTGATCTATAAGTTTGACTAGTAGCTTTGCTGTATTTTTAAAGAGATCTTAATATTTCCTGAGGATGAATTCACCGGAAAAAATCCTGTGTGACTTATGAAGAAATTCTTAGTATCTACTACACATCTTCGAGTTTATTTACTTCAGCGTCTAACTGAAGTTTAGACTTTGGTGATGAAGCATAAAAGGAGAGATTTTTCTTTTAATCTGTGTCAAAGAAATTCTTGCTCAAAAGTAATTAGGAATCTGAAGGTGAGAAGTGAAGGTCAGCAAACTGCCATTCCATAGGATAAAAGCTAAGCTGTTTCTCATCCCCGTAAGCGCCATGAGGGCAGGGATTGTTGTCTGCTTTTTTTCGCCTTATCTCCCAGGCTTTTAGTGTCGGGCATCAAGTAGGCACCTAATAAATATCTGTGGGATGAGTTGGTAAGCAGGTGTTTTTCATCTAGTGTTTCGGTTAATAACCTCAGCAGCTTTGTGAAGATAGGCATTATTGTCATTAGGCTTAGGAATAAGTGATTTGCCCAGGGTTGCTCAGCTGTTAGTCACAGAGCTGGAGCTCAAACCCTGTGCTTTTAACCACTGCAGTCTGCATCGTGCCCCAGAAAGCCATGCCGGAAATAGGCTAAAGCCCCACTTGACTGTCTTCCTCTTGCCCTTCTCCCCTAAACCTGTGGTGCCCACATAATACTTGAAGCTTCTATCCTTCCATCTGTCCTTCTTCCTTTTCTCTAGGGGAATAGAAGCTGATGGGTAACCAAAAAGATGGGAGACTAGAGAGATGGGAAAATTTTAAAATACAAATGATAGCTATTAGCTGCTTTACAATCTTTGTACCTGATTTTTATATTTAAATGTTGATAGTTTGTGTGATTCAAAAGCTTTCTCAAAAGTTTGCTTCTAACATTTTTTTCCCTCCCCAGGTTCATTGTCTGAGATCAGTTGATAACTTATTTGTGGTTGTTCAGGAGTTTAAAGATTACCAGTTCAAAGAAACAAAGGTGAGCTATCCCAAACATGGTAGCTGTTTTTCCCCGATATTTCCACTTTTTGCATTCTATCACTTAGCATTACTGGTGCTTTTATAATATGGAATACTGGAGGCTTTTACAGCAAAATCTAGAGATGTGTTGACAGTCCATTCCAAAAGTTTTTTTTAAAAATCAATATTGCAGGCAGTGGGGAGTGGGTGAAATGTGTGGGAGGGGGTCAAGAGGTACAAATTTACAGTTATGAAATACTTAAGTCACAGGGATGTAATGTACAGCATGGTGACTATAATTAATAATACCGTATTGCATATTTGCAAGTTGCTAAGAGAGTAGATCTTAAAAATTCTCATCACAAGAAAAGAATTTTGTAACTGTGTGGTGACAGATGTTAACTAGGCTTATTGTGGTGATCATTTCACAATACATACAAATACCAAATCATTATGTTGTACACCTGAAACTCAAATAATACTGGATGTCAATTAGACCTCATTTTTTTTAAAAAAGATGAAAGAATAACAAAATAAAAATAAATACAAATCAATATAGAAAAATATCGAAATTTATAAGAAATAAAACAAATTGTTTGACTTTCTTATGAAAGATATATACCTTAGATTAGCTTTGCTAATATATGTATTGCAAAATAGAATTGCTTTTAGATTGTGAACCAAGGAGCAAGTAACAGTTGTGTCATCTACAAATAACACTTTCTCTCACCATCTGCTTTTGCCCTGCTTTCTTCTCTAACTTTCTTTTTGGACATAAAGTCAGAGTAATATCTAAATACTCCTTCAGTTGTGAGGACAACAGCTTTGTCTCAAACTTGTATTTAGCATCTGATTCCTAAATATCAAGATGCTGTCTAAGCTGAAGCTTGAAATTCGATCTCAGTAAGGCTTGAGTATTTTTCCACATGGCTTTTTGGTCAGGTTTCCAGAGTCAAATGCTTGAAAATTTTTTTCTATCAGTTTTATTGTCTATATTAGAAATAATCTGTTTTTTAAAATGGTGATAGATACACTGCCTAATTCGTTAATTTTTATTTATTGGCAACAGGTTGATTGCCAGAACGTGTAAAAACCAGTCAATATGCTATGAACCCACAGCCTAGAAAAAGTAAAACCAGACCTAAAAGAATTCAGACTGAAAATAGATTAAATTTTTATTAACTACAAATGTAACTTTCAACACTAGTATTTATAACCCTTCAGACTTCTCATAGTCATTGCCAACCGAATCATGTCTATGAAACTAGTAAATAACGGGAGGCTACTGAAAAGTATTTCAGAATTTTAATATCCAATTCTACACATGAATAAATGTTAACAAGTGTTTAAAAAAATTATGTTTCCCTCTTAAATTCTTGCCTCCAACTAACTAGGACGTTATTAATATTTTCTTAAATTCCTGCATTTTGCCATCCTGGAGTTTGAATTATTTTGGGTATTTTGGATCTCTAATTGGAGGTGAATTTGATATTATGGAATGGTTCTATATGAGCCAGCTTTTCAGAGTTGCCTTGTAAGTAACTGCAAAAGAGGTTGCTGTCAAAAGTCTTAAAAGAAGAGCGGCAGTGATTGAGGTCGATTTTTGGATCTGTGCAAGGGCAGCTTCCGTTGTGTGTGACCATGAAAAATTGTTAGGCCCGTCACCTTATGGACTTAAATTACAACATGCCTCAGTAAAACCTTGTTTTTAAGTATTTGCTTCTAGCTTTCATTCTGTTGACCATCGATTTTGTTCTCTGTAGTATTAGACTTTCCCGTGTCTTATCAAAAGCCCGTTAGTTTAAGCATTCTAATGGGTTCTCTTGTTTTTAAGTATTCTGATGATATGACTTTATTAGCCTGTTTGGTTTGTTTTTTTAAAAAAACTAACTTCTGTGACTTATATGGGTTTTTAAAAGCTAGTTAATACATGTACTGAGAGCAAAATTATAAAGATGGGAAGGTATATACAGTGACAAGTAAGTGTTCCTATATCCCCATACCATGCAGTTCCTTCCCTGGAGGCAACACTGTTACCAATTTCTTGGCTATCCCTCTGCAGCTATTTTATGAATATGTGTTTTATTCACGTATTTACACAACTGGAAGTATGCTATGCATACTGTTCTGTGTTGTGCTTTTTCTTTTTTCTTTTGTTTTCCTGTTTTATCTCCCCAAATCCCCCCAGTACATAGTTGTTTATCTTAGTTGTGCGTCCTTCTGGTTGTGGCATGTGGGACGCTGCCTCAACATGGCCTGATGAGTGGTGCCATGTCTGAGCCCAGGATCCGAACTGGCGAAACCCTGGGCCACCGCAGCGGAGCACACAAACTTAACCACTCAGCCATGGGGCTGGCCCCTGCTTTTTCTCATATATCTTGGAGATCACGCCAATATCATTGCTAGATTTGATTACCTCATAATTTAATCAGTCCCATTTTAGGATATTAGGTTTTTTTAATATTCTTTTGCTTTTACAGTGGTGGTGCAACAAATATCCTGTATACATCCTTGTACATATTCAATCTGAGGGTCATTTTTTGTTTAATAAGAGAGTTTATCCCATTGATATTTATTGATATGACTGAAATGTTTGGTCTTGGTTTTGTCACATTTGTGCTACACAATTCTGCTTTCTTTTTTGAAATTATGTTATGTATTTGCTTCACTTTTTCCACACGCATGTGTTTTATAAGGTTTGGAAGGTTTGTATTTGTTCTCCAGTTGTTATCTTTATAACAACAGGTTAATCTACTATTTACACAGTATTTTTGGGGGGAATTTTATTTCATATTATATAGTTTTATTTTTTTATTCAAGCAGTTTACTTTTAACAGGTTAATATAGTAATGGTGCAATGGTCTAAAGGTGTAGAAGGGTATACCATAAAAAGTAAGCCTCTGCCATTCCTGTTAACCTGGAAGGCACCTAGTTCCTTTACCTGGAGGAAAAGATTGTAACCGTTTCTCCTATAACTTTCTAGAGGTGTCTGTGCATATATAAATGTATGCATATATGCATATTGTCTTATCTCTACATAAATGATAGTTGATCCCTGCTTTAAAAAATGAGAAAATAAACTCACAGAGTTTAAATGGCCATCCCACAAACACTCAGAATAAATGGCAGAGCCAGCCTTTGAGCTCCTACCTCTCTGAGTATTCAAACAGTATTTTTTGAATCCCTAATAAGAGCAGTGATGAAATTGGCATGTTTTTCACATCTCCCTCCTTCCCTTTCACCTTCCAGTTATTTTTCTTAGTGTTGACCCATATGCCTTTAAATATACTTTTATTTATCAGCTTTAACTTCTGTCCTTTGACCTCTGGCTATAAGACAAGAGGATATCAGCATGTTTACATAGCTTCCCATCTCTTACCTTTCCCCTCCAACTGCATGCCAGTTTGTGATATTTACATTCTCTTTCGTAGTCATAATCCCTATATTTGTTTTTATTTTAGTCCTATAGCTAAATAGATTATAGGTACACTACCTGTCCTTTGTCATAGTTTTTATCTTTTAAATGGCATGAATTCAGAAATGTTTGTCTTTCATCTGTATATTTGATTAATAGTTTAGGTATAAAATTTGGAATCATGCTGTTCTTCCTTAGAAGAATATTATAGGCAGTGTTCATTCTCTTCTAGCATTAAATGTTGCCATGGAAAATTCTGAGGCCATCCTGATATGTTTTTTCCTCTTATTTGTTGCTTTCTTGATATTTTTGTTTGATGCTCAGATACATATATACATTTATCTTTGAAGTCTAGCAAACTCAGTAGGATATGTCTCACTGTTGATAATTTCTTGTCAAGACATGTCAGTCCATAGAGAGATTCACATCCACTTACATTTCTGGAAAGTTTTCTTGAATTATTTTTTTAAAATATTTTTTGTTTCATTATCTTAAGTTCCTTCTTCAGAGATACCAGTTATACATATGTAGGATCTCTTCACTATCTTTCATGTTTTACCATATTCTCTCTAAGCCTTTTTTTACTTTTTGCTCATTTCCATTGTATTTGTTTTGCTTTTCTACACATCCCTTACTGTGTTTGAAGCAGTATCTTTTTCAGTATGGTCTTCATTTCTGCAATGATTTTATCTTTTTTTTTTTGAGGAAGATTAGCCCTGAGTTAACATCTGCCGCCAATCCTATTTTTTGCTGAGGAAGACTGGCCCCGAGCTAACATCCGTGCCCATCTTTCTCTACTTTATATGTGGGATGCCTGCCACAGCATGGCTTGACAAGCAGTGCATAGGTCTGCACTTGGCATCCAAACCGGTGAACCCTGGGGCTGCCAAAGTGGAATATGTGAACCTAACCACTGCACCACCAGGCCGGCCCTGGTTTTATCTTTTTATTCCACTTTTTCTTTGATGTCTACAAGCACCAGTTTCATCTCCTTGTGGTGGCTCACCTCATCTTCTTTCTGCTTTTGTATCTCTGCTTTGAACTCTTATTTTCAAAGGTATTTCCTCATTACATTTTTTGATGTAATGTCAGTACGTTTGATCAGTTTTCAACTGCTCTCTGGCAGTGTCTTTCTGGTCACTGTTTTTTGTTTGCTATTTGTTTTTCCTTTTTCTTTTTTTATGTTCCTATAAATCTTGTGCTGATAACTTTTGATAATTGCTGATCTTTGAATAAGGGAGTTCCTCTTGGACCTGCTATTTATAGGAGGTCCTGTGGGAGAGGCCAGGAACTGTTCTAGGCCAGCAAGTAACCCCTCTGGTTCACTGTGAAGATCCTGTGACAAAGGGTTGTAGGTGCATGAGTTATTCTCCTCTTCCTTCTTTTTTTTTAATAGTTTTATTGAGGTATAGTTTCCATGCCACCGAATGAGTTCTTTTAACCATTACTTCTCCCTAGCCTGAACAAATCAGCATCTTCAGCGTTATTCACAGCGTAGAGTATCTCTCCCCAGCTCTGTTTCACCAACAGTTTCCAGCAAACAGCACATCTGGGATTCCTTGTTCAGCTTTCTTTTCTCTCTCCTGCTTCTTCATACAAATGTGGTCCAGGGAAGCTCGCTCTGTCAGCATGTACTTCTTTCCTGCTGTTCCAGAAAAGAGTTTATTTGCTACTCTTTGCAGACTGCTCTACCCTTCGTCTGAGATCTATAGGCATTCTCCCCCTTTTGTCTTCCTGCACCTCTGTTTGACCTTCACTGCACTTGGGAATTCTTATGTTATGGTTCAAGTTTCTGGATACTGTGTAGATCTATTTAGAGTTGCTATTTCTGTTGTTTTTTCTTTTAGAATGGTTTCTGGAGAAAGAAAGGGGCTACACCAGTGTTATTCCACCATGTTAAACCTACAAGTCCTGTGGATGCCCTTTATAGGGAAATTATTTGTAGATAGGATTGAATTTGCCAAATGTGAAATTTGACTTCATTTCATCAGGTTTCAAGCAGTATCACATCAAAGTCTTCACTCTCGCCCATTTCAAGTCTCAGTTCTATCAGTCAGCACTGATGTCCTTCTACATTGCTTTTCGGTAACATATATTGTCTGTACTAGCACTCTGCAATAGAACTTTCTGATGGAAATGTTGTGTCTACACTTTCCAGCATGGTAGCCACTAGCCATCAGTGTGTGGAGTGTGGCTAATGTGACAGAAAAACTGAGTGTTTTATTTTAGATCATTTCAATTTCAATAGCTACATGTGGCTAGTGGCTGCTGAATTGGACTGCATGGCTCTGTAACACCCATTTTAACATTTAATCACCTATTATCCTGGAGCTGTTTATTGAACACCTTTTGTATCCCACGCACTGCTCTAGGCATGTCACTTATAGCAGTGGTCAAGACGGGGAAGGTCCTTTGCACCCTGAATTTACCTTCTGATAGGAGGCTTGATGGTGAACAATATGTAAACCTAGTAACTTTAGATAATGCTAAGCTCTGTAACGAAAAAATGGGAAGAGAATGACTTGAGAGGACTGCTCTAAATAGAGTGGGTCTCTTGGAAGATGTGCCTTTTACACTACTGTTAAATAATGAGACAGGAGCCAGCAGTGCGGCGAGACCACGTGAAGCAAATACCTTTCAAGCAGACGTGGGAAGTGAGGGAGAGAATGATCTTCAAGTGATGTAAGAGAAGTAGGCAGGAGTCAGATTATGTTGGGCTTTTTAAGGAAGGTAGACTTTTTATATGTAGTGGAAAGTGTGGAGGGGCTTTAAGCAATGGAGGGGCGAGATCAGATTTATTTTTTAAAGAGGTGACTCTACATACTATTTAGAAATTGGAGAGATAACATTTTTAACTGCTTAAGGTTTATTTTTTTTCTTGTAAAAAATACTACTGTTAAAAATAGTTACTATGTATACACAGCACAAAGTTCACAAGGAAGTCAGTCAGTGAGAGGTAAATTGCTCTCCTTGCCGTGCCTTTCATCCACCCACTTTCCCTCCCTAGAGGTAGCCACTGTTAACAGTTTTCTATTGCTCACATTTTAATCTTAAAGCCCTGCCTCCCATTTACCATTTTCTGCTGTGTATTATTCTTTAGTGGCTTACTTTGTATATGTCTTAATTTTCAATGAGATTTTAATTTCCTTAGTTGCAGGCATTATTTTATTTACTCTTGTTGTGCACCCCTGCCACCCCCAACTTAATGATTAATGTAGTCTATAGGCAAAGTAGGGGTTTATTTGTTCAATTGAAGTGGTGAGAAATGAATGAAATGGATGGATTTCATTCTCTGTCCTTTATAGGAAGAAGTTTTAAAGGATTTTGAAGAATTGGCTGGGAAGCTCCCATGGTCAGACCCTTTAAAAGTATGGAAAATTAACACCAGTTTCAAGAAAAAAAAAACAAAGCGCAAAAAGATAAATCAGAATTCAGGTAAAGAGAAGATTGATAATGGACGAGGAGACAAGACTGATGAGAGAGATGTTAAAAAAGCGTTCACTAGCAATCCCTTAGATTCACATATCTTAGACTATTATGAAAATCCAGCCATCAAAGAAGAGGTATCAACATTAGTAGGTGACGATTTGGCATCTTGCAAAGATGAGACTGATGAAAGCTCAAAAGAAGAAACTAATCCTGAAGTGCTGAAGTTTAGAGTCACGTGCAACAGGGCAGGAGAGAAGCATTGCTTTTCCTCAAATGAAGCCGCGAGAGATTTTGGGGGTGCCGTTCAAGAGTACTTTAAGTGGAAGGCTGACATGACCAACTTTGATGTGGAGGTAGGTACAGGCTCTGATTATGATGATTCAAGAAGGCCGTAATTACAGATTTGTAGAATTGTCAGACTAACCAATCTTAGGGACAGTTAAACTGAGGCCACAGAGCTAATAGGATGTGTGTGATTTCAAGAGCATGGCCTATGGAGACAGATCTAGATCAAAATTTTGACTGCACAACTGTGTCACTTTGGACGGGATGCTCTCTCTGAGCCTCTGTTTCAAATGGAGCCATTTAAGTGTGTCCCAAAGGTGAAATGAGATAATATATTTTAAATATTTAGTGCAATACGTGGTATACTGAGGACTCAATAGATGGGAGCTATTAAGACTTGAGTTTCTAAAGTCTGGTACTTTTTACAACATTATGTGGACTTTCATATTATAAAATTCAACCAGAATTAAACAACTTTTCTGTTTTTTGTGTGTCTTGGTTGTAGAGTTTTGCTACTAAAAAAAAGTGGAGTATATTTTTAAAATAAACCTCAACCTCCTAAAATGAGGACCTCATTGCTAATACTCATGCTAGAGCCAGCTCTCCTCTTTCTTAAATTCTGCTTGATTCCCAAACCCAGATACCTCTTTTTAACATCCTTACTCTCCTTGGTCTCCATCTTCTGCTACACAGATGATTCACGTGTGGGCCATACTAACTAGTCTTTAAATCTCTGACAGCTTAAAAGGCCCCTCGCAGCTGACATTTTTACCGAGAAGTCATTTTCTGTTGCTTTTGGGACACTTAAATCTGGGGCAAGTCACTTACTCTCTCTGTAATTTTTTTTTTTGCATATCAAATCAAGAACAATTCCCCAATCCTTTTTTTCTCATAACAGCTGTTATGTGAATATATAGGCTAACTAGAACAATGATGTCCAAAAGTTAGCAACAGGGCTCGTAGGACAGATTCTGGAGCCATACTGCGTGGTTCAAATCCCAACTTAGAAGCCAGATGACTTTGGGCAAGTAAGCTGACATCTTTGCCTCAATTTCCTCATCTGTAAAAGGGGGATGATAATACCTAGCTCACCTAGAGGGTGTGAATATGAAATGAGGTATGAATGTCAGGTGTGTTGACAGTGGCTTCCGCATAAGAAGCTCTACATATGTGTCAGCTGCTGCTGCTGTTAAGACCATGATGGGGACATTTTAGGTGGAAGATTCGAGAACATATTTTATTTTTACTTTTATTTTCATTTGGATAGTTTATATTTAACTGTGTGTTAGAAAAACTATAACTAGGACAAAAAAACATTATTTCACAGATGTTATTAAGTTTTAAAAATTATTAAGTAAGAAAATAATAGGTGGTAAAGCAAATGCAGCATAGTGTTAACGGTTGATCTAAGTGAAGGGTATATTTAGGCTTTCGTTGTGCCAGTGTTCTTGTAGCATTTCTGTATGTTTGAAATTTTTTCCAAAAAAGTAAAAAATTTTTTAAAATGTATGTTAAAAAACCCATAAACCTTCAAAATATGTTCATATTATAAAAATGCAGGGGAAATCTGGTTATAGCTCACTTATAAATATAGTGAATGAAAAGTAAAGAACAAAACAGATTTTAAAATTTAAAAGTAGTATATACTATATGATTTCATTTATTTGAAGTTCAAAAAAAGACAAAACTAATTTACGGTGGTTGGTAGATTAATGGTTACTTCGGGAGGGTACTGACTAGGAGAGGGCAAGGGGAGCCTTCTGGTATGCTAGAAATATTATCTGTCTTTATCTGGGTAGCAGTTACACAGTGTATATATATGTGAAAATTCACTGTGCTGCACACTTAAGATTTGTGCACTTTACCGTACATATGCAAAGTATACCTCAGTAATAAAGTTACAAAAATTAATAAAGCCTCAAATAAACCTTAGTCATAAGTACAGTTCAGACAATCCTAAAACTATTTTATTCTGTCTTGTTTTATTGTAGGTTCTTTTGAATATCCACGATCATGAAATTGTTGTAGGCATTGCATTGACAGAAGAGAGTCTCCACCGAAGAAATATCACACATTTTGGACCCACCACTCTTAGATCTACTGTTGCCTATGGCATGCTCCGGTAAGAGAATGGGTTTTCTGTCTAGATTCAAGTGACGCCTTGGTTTGAATTTTCCCTTCACAACACTTTAATTTTTTATGAGGTACTGTGTTAAAATTGGTGGATAAAGAATAGGATAAAAAGCTAATGATCTATTTCCCTTGTATCCAGTGTTGATTCCTTGTAATCCTGAAAATATCACTTAATCACTGTCTCGGTTTTCTCAATTTTAAAATGGGAATGATAGTTCTCATCTGCCTCTTAAATGGGGTTGCCACATGTCTGTTTAGAAAAGATATATTGTATCTTGGGAAATAGAGCAGATTTTGCTTTGTTTCATTTCTGTGCAATGAAGCAGATGAAAGCAAGATTTTTTTAAACATATAATGTGTAAATGAACACAGAGAGCTTTTACTTATATTTTTAAATTTTATACCCATAGCAACCCAGGCATCAACTTGGAATATTCCTCTTTTCCAACTGTAAGACCTAGCTTTCTTTCTCCTTTTCCCTTTTCCCTTTTTATTAGGTACTTCTTTGCACCATTAGGACAAGTTGTCTTCTCAAAGTTTCTGTTTTCTAGACTCCAAAATGGGTTTGATGTGAGACTTAAAAGATTATTAGTGAGGAGTAAATGCAGAACATACGCAAAATACTTTTTATATATAGTGCCTGGCATATCCTGGTAGTTAGCTGTATTTCCTTCTTTTCCAATCTTTGCTTCCTCTTCTACCCTGCTCGTCCACGGAGTTACAGTTTGACACAATTGCAACCTATCAATTCAATGACAGTAATAGAAAACTGGGCTCATTTGATTAAGGAAGAGCTCCTAGTCTTAATTCATTTAACAAACATTTAGTATCTCCTGCCAGGCATTATGGTAGGAGCCAGGGATAGAGTTATTTTGGATTCAACTATTAGAAACCTAAGTAAGCTAGTTTAAGATTAAAAAAGTGATGATTGTGTGGGAGCGGGATTTTTTGGCAAGATACTGAGAAATCTTGGGGGATCCACAGAAAACTGAAAGCTATGGCTCAAGAAGGTTAGAACCAGATCTTGGGAAACCACTAGAAACCTAGCTAGCTACTTTTCTTTCTCCTGGGAGCCTATGGGCTCTTGTCTCTGCTCATCTGTGCAAATGGCTGCTCTTCATCTAAATTTATGTATTTCCAATTTCAAATGACTAGCCTCATACTACCTAGGGCTTCTAGCTCTTTATTCTCAGTTCTTGGAAGAGAGAATCTGATTGAACACTTGCATAGTTTTGGTCAAGTGTCGCTGGGATCCAGCAGCAATGGCTGGGAGTCCAGGGTTGCGTACTCCCAAGAGGGTTGCCGAGGATTCTGCTGCCTTGTGTTGAGGGGCAGGAAAAGCAAGGTAGAGCTGGATGGGTATTACAAACAGTATCCAGCGTTAGTCCCCAAGAATCTGGCTTGTGAGGGAGATAAATAATTACCTTACATGTGGTAAATATCATAATAGAACATGAAAAGATTAGCAGGACAAAAGAAGGAAAGAGAAACCTAGTGACCTGTCTGAGAAGGGATACTTCATAGAGGGGGTCACATTTAAGCCACTAACAGTAATGCCTCTTAATCCTGACTCTCTCACCTATTAGTTTTGTATCCATGGACAAGTTTTTTGTCAGCTTATCTGTAAAATGAGAATAATAATAGTAACCTACCTCATAAGATTGTTAAAGGATTAAATGAAGGGCTGGCCCCGTGGCTTAGTGAGTAAGTTCAGCGCACTCCACTTCGGCGGCCTGGGTCCCTGGGTTCCGATCCCGAGCACAGGCCTACACAACTCATCAGCCGTGCTGTAGTGATGTCCCATGTACAAAATAGAGGAAGACTGGCACAGATGTTATCTCAGGGCTAATCTTTCTCAAGCAAAAAAAGAGGAAGATTGGCAACAGATGTTAACTTAGGGCGAATATTCCTCAGCAAAAAAAAAAAAGATTAAATGAGATAATGCATGCAAAAAGCTTAAATCCATGCCTGGAAAATACTAAATGCTCAAAGGAAAGCAATTATTTTATAGAAGGTTATTATCTTTAAAATTAAATTGATAAGGACAGGAATACTGAATGTCTAATTGCCATTAAACTTACATTGATATGTATTTTACTTGATAGTTTAAGGGGTTTTTTTTAGTGTAACAATACCGGTTTATATATAAATAACATGTTGTCTAAAGGCATATATATATGTAATATATAATACACATACATATTCAAAGATCTAGAAGCTAAATGCCATCTGGGAGTGAAATGGAACTTTGGATGATAGTCAAAGGAGACTTTTAGTTCTATGGAATTTTTTTTTTTAAGTGCTAGGATATAAAGTCAACATGGAGTTACAAATATATTTTTTAAATGAATATTGATTGATGTTCCTTCATGCTAGCATAATAGGTCCTTGATTTTATAGCTTCAGGAATAATCATTGTGGAGGCCTCAGCTGTTGGTTGAAGTCTCTTCACATAGGCTGTTTTCTTTTCTCTAGGCTCTGTGCTCCTCAACCTACTGATATAATAGTTGATCCGATGTGTGGAACCGGGGCAATACCAATAGAGGTAATAACTTTTCTTTAGCTTTTAGATAAGCAAGTGATATGTCCAGAATGTTCTAGAATTAATGGGCAAGTTAGACTTAATGATATCACCAAGGTTGGGTCAGTGGACCCAAGAATTTTGAAAGAATTACACCAGTAAAGCTAGAACTTCTCTGTAAAAGATGTAACCACTTACTACGAAAACCAAGGACTAGGTAAATTATAAGTGATATTTATCCAGTGGATTACAGAGAAGGCTGAGAATTGTAAACTGGTGAGTCCCTTTTTATAACAGACAAGCTGGCAGACTTGAAAGAAAAGATAACTGAAGGTATAAGCATAAACTGGAGGAATGCGTTTCATCTCTACAAAGTGAGATTATGCTTCTTAATGCACTTAGGTTCTTGAAGGGAGTAAATATAGTTGTAAAAAGGGAAACCTTTGAACATTATTTTGATTTTTTTTAGGAAGTCTAACAAGGTTACATACTAAATGCTCTTAAATAGTTTTCAAAATTACTGTGACATTGAGAGGACTCAAAAACTGCCTAAAGCAAAGTATGAAATGGAAAGGCATTTTTCTAAGTCGAGGATATTTAATAGGAGAGTCTCCTTGAATCAATATTATCTATACTTTTATAAATAATTTGGAAGAGGGCACTCCCATTAAAATTGCTTAAATTTGTGAAACATAGTAAGTTCTTAGATACAGTATACCCAAATCCAATGGGAATAAAGTGCATGGAGACAGCCAGAGTCTGTGAGTGGGCAGAAACTGGACAGATGATGAAGTCCAAAGCAACCCACAAAGGGAAAAAGAATCCAAGTTGCAATTAGAAGATGACATCTGTCATCTGGGAGTTCAGATCCCAGAAGGAAATCATAGTAGTCTAAATGCCTACTGTTTTCTGCCAGGTTTAGAAGAAAAACACAAATTTTGAGGAATCAGAATCACCTCTGAGGCCTTCCTCACACTCTGTAGGTCTCTTCCACATCCCTCTACGTCACCCTCCAGCATCTGGGCAAAAGACAAAGCTGTGAAGCACTGTGTTCATGGATGAGGGCATTACTGTTCACAAAGAAGAGGTGTGTGTTCCTCATCCCTAAACAGAGGGCAGCATTTTCTCTGCTTTCATGTCAGAAACCGTCTGTTAATCTGCATAGAACATTGTTCAGGCCTCAAGTAGTATGTCACCTCATTCCACAAGTGATATTTGACAGCTTGGTATTTATGTTCTGCTGGCATGTTTTGACATGAAATTAGAAAATGCTTTCAGGGATATGGTGGTTATCATTCAAAAGCCGATGCAATGGAGATGACATTTTATTTTGAAATTCTCAAATATTCCATTATATTAGATTACATAAAGTCCCATAATCACAAAAGGGTATAGGTTGGTCAGTTTGATTTGGTTAAGTTTTTCAAACCACGTTTGTATTTAAGATCTGTAATGCCTTCTATGTGCCAGACACTTCTGGGTGCGGAATTGCATAAAATACCACACCTGTCCTTAAGGACTTCCCAGATTCATTGAAAGGCAGACAGGTATAGAAATAATTACGAAGAGAACAAGTGCAGTGGTGGAGATATGTACCAAGTGCTTTTGGGGGTGCATGAGAGACAGCTTGAGGAGCTGGGGTTGATGTCACAGAGGGCACGATATTTGAGCTGCGTTTTGAGAGAGAGTAGGAATTCAGCAAGCAGAGAAATAACAGGAGGGCATTTCAAGCAAGTGGAATAGCAAAACTGACAACATGCAGTGTTTTGCCACTTTAGAAAAGCATTGGATTGTCTTGTTTATTGAAGATTGAAATGATTTTCCCTTTAATCATTTTTTTGCAGTTTTCTACTTGTGTTTTAATGTATACTCTTGTCTTTTAGGGGGCTACTGAATGGTCTAACTGTTATCATATTGCTGGTGATAATAATCCGTTGGCTGTGAATAGAGCTGCAAATAACATCTCATCTTTATTGTCCAAGAGCCAAATTAAAGAAGGGTAAAAATTTAATTTAAAAGATTTTACAGCATCTCGTAGCTTTAGATAAGATAATCACTTTTCTTATTGACTTTATGAATTAAAACCCCCAGTGCATTGTGAACATACTGTGAGACTCTATTTAGATTTTAAAAGTTTATTGAAAATAATTCATATTTTAAAAATATTTTTCCATTTAGCTATTATTTCCCCACCCTAATGCAACTATTTTTATTTCTATCTTCCTTTTTCTTTCCTTATTCATGTCTTTTTTCCACATAGTGGAAGAACATGTAGATTCATTTTAATTTCACAAATTTTCCAACACTTTTTATATAGTCTATTTTTTAATGACTGCTTAATATTCTTTGTATAGAAATACTACAGTTTATTTAGCCTTTCTTCTATTATTTGGCACTTAAAAAAATTTCAGAATTGGAAGAGACCTCAGAGCCATTCCCATGGTGCCTAAGTGTCCTATGGGAGATCCTGACCCTCAGTACCTCTCATGACTGCCTCCAGTCCAAGGCTTTGATTGCATCTTTACACAGCTTTGAGTGCTAGTTGTACCTTTTAGTGAATTGAGTCTCTCCCTGTACCTTCCTACAGATTTGGTGCTTTTGTCCCATTTGGGCCCATAAAGAAAAATCTTATCTCTATGTCAGATGATGACTGACATCGGGTCTTTGAACGGCTATCCTACCGCCCTGCACTTGTCCACCCACCCTCCACATCCTCTCTTCTCCAAGCAAAATATTCATTCCAAGGTCCTTCAACCATTTCCCTTTCCTACTCGTGCATTGAAAACCCATTAGCCTCTGGGAAATTTTGATTTTCATTGAAGATGTACGTCATTGTAGTATCTTAAGTCTAACCTGCTACTCCAAATTACATTTGAAAGTACCATCTGTGTCAGCCTTTCACTATTCTTTCAGAATCTCAGCTGTTTTTGGGAAGAATTGGTTGAAATGTCACTTGGTCTACAGTTTCTTATCAGAGGCCTCATCATAAAACTGTTTCACTGGTGCCCTTCATTTTCTTAGAAAGTGGCAGGAATAGGTAGTGGTCAGCAGATTTGTTTGGTCTTACAGGTGCTCCACATCCTGAATAAACTTAGCCTGGGAAGTCATTATATCCCATGATTGGTCTTACCGTATCTAGAAACAGCTGCCTCCATAACTCTTAGTGTGAGGTTTGTATTTGTATGTAGAAATTGTTTTGAAAAATATGTATTCATTTTATGCAAATACTTATATTTATTACTTATACATGGTATGCCTAGTACTATTTTTGTCTGTATATTGTTTATCCTCTTTTCTTTGCTAATTTTTTTTCCCTTTTTTGATTAGAATTGCCAGTGCTTTGTTTTGTTCTTTCATATACTATTTGTTCTATGGCTTTGATGCTCAATGCTTTTTGTTTTTTATTCCTATTTCCTATTGAGGTGTTTTTATTTGTTAGCTAAAATCTTAAGTTATATGCTGTGTCATCTTTTCTTTTTTTTTTGAGGAAGATTCACCCTGAGCTAACATCCGTTGCCAATACTCCTTTTTTTTTTTTTTTTTTTTTTTTTGCTTGAGGAAGATTAGCCGTGAGCTAACATCTCTGCCAATCTTCCTCTATTTTTTTGTATGTGGGACACTTCCACAACATGGCTGGTGAGTGGAATAGGTCTGTGCCCGGGATCCAAACCCATGAATCCAGGCCACCGACACAGAGTGTGCAGAACTTTAACCATTACACTACAGGGCCAGGCCCAGCCTTAAATGTCTTCTTTATAATGATAAGATTTTTCTTAGAGCTGACTTTCATGCTAAGTACTCCTGTTGACCATATATATCCTATAGATTTTTTCTTTTTTTTTTCTCCAAGGAAGATTAGCCCTGAGCTAACATCTGCCAATCCTCCTCTTTTTTCTGAGGAAGACTGGCCCTGAGCTAACATCCGTGCCCATCTTCCTCTACTTTTTATATGTGGGACGCCTACCACAGCATGGCTTGCCATGCGGTGCCATGTCTGCACCCAGGATCCGAACCAGCGAACCCCGGGCCACCGAGAAGCGGAATGTGCAAACTTAACTGCTGCGCCACCAGTCCGGCCCCCTATCCTATACATTTTGATAATTCTCTATTTTGGTTACTTTCTAGATTGTTGGGTTGTATACTTGATTGTCTCTCATCTAGTTGTTTAGGCTAGTGCTTTTCAAACTTTGATGTGCATATGAATCACCTGCGGATCCTATTAATGTACAGATTCTGATTTAGTAGTTTTAGGATGGGACCTGGGAGTCTGATTTCCTAGCAAGCTTCTGGGTGTTGATGCTGCTGGTCTGTGGTCCTACTCTGAGTAGCAAGAGCTTAGATCATTTTTTATACATGAGTAGTTGAACGGTTTTAATTTATTTTTAATTTATGTTTTATTATAATGAATAGATTTTTATGGTATATTTTGTTTCATATTTATTGGGATTTTCTTGAGGTTTACTACATGACCAGGGTTTTTTGAAACCTGATAAACATTTTTAAACAAGTTATTTTCTATTTTCTGAATATTTTATCTTATTTTTCAGACCCTCTGCACCTTCACTTTTTGTCTGTGATTTGTACTATTTATATCAGTCTTACCTCGATTTTTAATATTTTTGGCTTATGTTGTTTTGTTTCAGTTATTGTTACTCATGATTGTAGTACTCATATTTTTTATATCTTTTTTTTCCATTATATAGTGACTGTTGCATTTTATTTTTTATTAAATATCAATATAACCCTTAATTTCTCCTCATAATCTTTGATTTGCCTTACTACTTAGCTTGTGCATTATTGCCTGTTGCATTTTGTTTCTTAACTCAGTAGCTTTGCCTTAATAGGGAAGATTTAAATCATTTATATTTATTATTATATTAATTCTGTCTTCTGTCGTCTGTTTTTTTGATCTTTTTCTTTCTTCGCCTTTTTTAATAGTATGATATATATTTGTTTTTAAATCTTAAAACAGGTACCTCTATATTTACTAATTTTACATATCCTTTTCTTTAGATGTCCTCTTATTACTACATAGATGTACCAAACTTTATCCTTCAGATGTTAATTCATAATCTTTTTTTCTCTTTAGTGTTTTTTCCCCCAGTGTGTCTGTTTCATTGATGTTTTACATTGTCACTTCTGTAATTTAGTGCCTCACCACTGTTCTCAGTTGTCTTTGTGTAGCAATCTTGTTTTCCTCTTAATCCATTTGCTTAAATTGTAGATGAAACAGATGTAGACATCTTTTGAAAACCGGTCTTAACCGTTTTTAAAACTTCCTTGTCATTCTTATAGATTTGCTATTTGTCATTATAAAAGTTTTATCTTATGACCTTGTGCTTTCTTCCTACATTCTCCTTTAAAAATTTTGCTTAAGTTGTTGTCACTGATATTAGTAGCATTTTGTACTTTATAGCAGTCTCTTCAGAAAGAATTTTCTTAAATTTCATACATCAGAATATGCTGAAGCCCCTTTCCTTTGTCCCCACAGCAGACCCTCCTGGGGCTTGCCCATAGATGCTGTCCAGTGGGATATCTGCAATCTGCCATTGAGAACTGGCTCTGTGGACATTATTGTAACAGACATGCCATTTGGAAAAAGGTGGGACTTGGTTTTTTAGAAAATGAGTTTTACCTTCACTTGTTATACTAGTGCCCACTTGTCTTCTAAATCTGTTTTCTTTGAGTTTATTTTGTCAGAAATCTTCAGTTCCTTTTAACAGACTTAGTAGAGCAGTTTTTCACTTAAGAATTATAACAATATGATGGATTCACTCATTTTCTTTCTTTGGAGAACTCAGGAATGCATTAATTTCATTTTAATCCTCACCACAGGGAGTTCATCCACTTCCTAGCCCGTTGTTGAATTACATGGTACTTCATACAGATGGAGGAAAACTTGGTTCTAGTTCTCAGGATAATGACTTCTAATCACTGGTTTGGTTTATAGAGCTTGCTTATTATGCTCATTAAGAGGACAATTTATATAATTATTATAGTTGTCAAAAATTTTTTTCTGTAACCAATTCATTCACTTCAAAATTCTAAGCAGTTTACTAAGTTTGATCACTCATTTCATTGACATATAATGGCAAAGCTCTAGCTTCTCTCTTTTTGAAGATTAGCCCTGAGCTAACTGCTGCCAATCCTCCTCTTTTTGCTGAGGAAGACTGGCCCTGAGCTAACATCCATGCCCATCTTCCTCTACTTTATATGTGGGACGCCTATCACAGCATGGCTTTTTGCCAAGTGGTGCCATGTCTGCACTCGGGATCCAAACCGGCGAACCCCAGGACACCGAGAAGTGGAACATGCAAACTTAACTGCTGCACCACTAGCCAGCCCCTCTAGCTTCTAAAAGGCAACTGTTGGGGCCGGCCTGCTGATGAAGTGGTTAAGTTCACACACTCAGCTTTGGCAGCCTGGGGTTCATGGGTTTGGATCCCAGGCACAGACCTACACACTGCTCATCAAGCCATGCTGTGGTGGCATCCCACATACAACATAGAGGAAGATTGCCACAGATGTTAGCTCAGGGACAATCTTCCTCACCAAAAAAAAAAAAAAAAGTTCTTTATCTCCACCTGCGAGAAATAAACTTACCCTTCTTTAAAAAAATAAAAAGCAACTATTTTTCATACCTTTGGATTTTCTTATTGCAATGAAAATGAGTTTTTAATAACTTGTTTCATATAGTCCTAACTATTCAAAGTATTTGACTCATCAAACCTCCTTTTATAGGATGGGCTCCAAGAAGAGAAACTGGAACCTTTATCCTGCTTGCCTACGAGAGATGAGCCGTGTTTGTAGACCAGGGACAGGCCGAGCTGTCCTACTCACTCAGGACAAGAAATGCTTTACCAAGGTGCTGTACGTTAACTTAAAAGCTCAGCCTGTGACAACCTTAGGATCTTTTAAAGTAGACTTGGGCATATTAGTTCAAGTGGGATTTGTTTTCTCTTCCCCTAGTGTTTGCTCCTGGCAACTAAGACCTCTGGTTGCTCTAGAAGCAGATTGTCAGCTAGTTACTTTTATGCTTTTTGTATGTACACAGGCATTATCCGGAATGGGACATGTATGGCGGAAGGTGCATACTGTCTGGGTGAACATAGGGGGTCTTCATGCCGCAGTTTATCTTCTGAAACGTACGCCTCAAGCTTTTGTTCATCCTTCAGAGCAAGATGGAGAAAGAACTCCTTGGTAATGTAAAGAATGAAGATGATTAATAGCATTTGTGCTTCCCCACACTGGAAATGTCAGCAGGAAGAACTTGCTTTGAGAGAAAAATAGTATTAACAGAAGTGCAGTTTGCACTGTTTAAACTGGTCTAAAGCTCTTCACTCTGGTTAGCAAAAGGTGGGAATGAATGGAATGGAATTCAGTCTTAAGAGAAAGCAGAGCTTTTCTTTGGAGCTGTTGTGAAGGAGTAGCTGGGCAATTCGTACTTTTCTTAAAATGCTTTAAAGATGCAAAGCCTACTAAAACACACTGGGATTTGGGTTTAGAACATTTTATTTTCGGGCTTTTATAGCAGTTCCTATTTTCCATTGTAGGTGGTAGAAAGTTACCCTGGCCTACTGGAAAGGCAGAGAACATAGTCAGAGCATCTTAGGCCACATCTCATTGCCTATGCAGCTTTGCTATTTAGTTGGTCAGGCTCTCTTTATCAACCTTAAAAAATGAAGCGTTATTTTTGTGTTTGCCCCATGACAAGATAAAATCTCACAAGACCTAGAGGAAAGCTTACCATCTGCCTTAAACGTGTTACTCAGATCAATACACAGAACTCAGAGGACTAGGATTTATCAAAATAATTGCACAGATACTTTACTGTTAGCAATATAGAATGTTTCTATTTATAAATAGCAGTAAATGCATTGGTTGATGAAGTATGGGACCAACAAGCCACATTTAAAGAAATTTTTCTTTCAGTACACAAGGTGGTGTTGCTTTTCAAAGTCAAACAAAAACTTGTCAAAGTACTTTTGTTTATTGGTTTCTTAAAAGGACTAGAGAGCTGATGTATCTTTGAAATAAAAAGTTTCATGTAAGTTCTTTTGTTATTTCCTTGTGGGTCACTATACATATTTAGTTGCTTTTCCAGTTGCAGAAAAGTCCTTGAGACAGAGGAAAACGTGACCTCAACATAAAGTCCTTGTGAAAACGGTGCTTCCCTGGGACAAAGAGTAATTCGGGTTTTATGTGAAATTCTTTATATTCAGCTTATTTTGAAGCTTCTGGCTGTATTCAGCTTAAATTTTCAGTGTCATGTTAGTAATAGAATAGTACTACTTGTATTACCTTTTGATGTCACATTTAGAATAAGAGAGTACTTCCTTCCTTTGAAAGAATATTCTGAGTTCACATTAGCAGTACAACCAAAGTCCTAACCTGGTTTCTCTGATATACTACCCCTCACTTGAGAATGAATTAGAAATAAGATATTTATAAGGGTTTTACATCCTAGACTGGAATTTTGACCATCATCAGAATACAGTTGCATTATTATGGGCTCAACATAAAACCACCTTTCACTTCTGCCAAACCATTTAAACCTCCAAATGAGTGTTGATCAGCAGTCCACAGCACTAGAAAGTGCAAGGACCATGTCTCTCTTCACCATTGTTTACCAAATGCCTGGCACAGTACCTGCCAGTGGACACTTAATATTTGTTAACAAATGAATTAATATTTTTGTACACTGGCTTAGTTTTTATGTATATCAAATTTGTGCTTGATCCATCATCGTTTTAGTCCTATTAAATACCACTGTAAAAACATGGCCAAATTTATGATGCAGATAGGTAGTGAACATTGTCTGCAATAGTTTGCCATCTTCCTCCCTGGCATTGTCTTATAATCTGGCGACAGGAACAGGAAATGGGCTGAGGATACAGAAGAGCTGGGATTGAGTTTTGTATGCCACTACTACTTCCTACTTGTGTGACCTTGGTTTTTTTTAACCTTTGAAGAGGGTCTCTTGCACCACAAGAATGTGAAAAGGTGGGGAAGGTAATCTTAATAACCTGAACACAAAATGACGAAGTTATGGACCAGAGCTTCTGTTACTGGGAGAGTCAATCAATTTTAGGGGGGAAAAACAACAAACACTGAGATAGATTTTATAAATTTAATGAAAGATAGTTATTTCTCACATACTGACAATATATTAGTGGCTAGAAAGAAAAAAATCCATTTGTTTAAACATTTCTTTTAAAATGGTCATAAGACTGTCAGGAAACTGCTGAAACTCTAGGTGCTGGCATATCAATGTCAGATATGGCTCAGGTCTCCACTGCAAGGACCAAAAGAAAGTTGAAGGGGACAGCCCTGTGGCCGACTGGTTAAGTTTGCGCACTGCATTTCCGCAGCCTGGGGTTTCGCAGGTTTGGATCCTGGGCGTGGACATGGCACCACTCATCAGGCCATGCTGAGGCTGTGTTCTTCCACATGCCACAACTAGAAAGATCTACAACTATAATATACAACTATGTACTGGGGCTTTGGGGAGAAGGAAAATAAAATCTTAAAAAAGTTGAAGACTGGAAAAAAAAGGAAGTATTTTAAAAGGTCTGTAAAGTATCTAAAGTACAGTAAAGCCTACAACTGCTTAATATTAATTAGTGAGATAGGCATAGCATTATTCTCAGCATAGCATTTCCCAAAGCCAGGTGAGATGTTATGTGGGAATTTCAGTGGGAATATGGTGAAAGTTTGAAAATTGTATGAGGAAAAAAATCAAATTTAATTATTGTACCTTGGTACATTTTTTTTTTAAGTTCAGGAGAAACACCATATACAGGTCTCTCCTGTACCAAATTTTAAAAATGTGCATAATAGGAAAAAAATGTATCATTGTTTACAAGAGGCCTACTCTGTCACCCTTGTACTTCTACCCCAAGGTTAACATGTTTGCTTGTCACTTGTGAAGTTGTAGCTATTCGAAGATATATTCCATGATAAAAGAAATTTTCAATGGAAAGGGGAATGATATTTGTTTTTCTTGAGCCCAAATTCTAAATTTCCAACTGCCTTCTATATTTAGCCTTGTATGTCCCACCTCAAACTCAACATGAACATACCTTTCTCCACTAAAACCTGCTCCTTGTTCTAGCATGCCCATTCTCTGTCATCCAGATGCTATCCTGGAAGTCATTTTTAACTCCATCCAGTTATTCAACAGGCATTTGAGTGTTTACTATATACATTCTGCTAGAGCAGCTATTTCTCAAACTTCTTAGACTTAGGACCCCTTCATATTCTTAAAAATTGAGCACCCCAAATAGCTTTGTTTACCAATATTTTACCATATTAGAAATTAAAACAAGAAAATTATAATAGTAACGAATAAATTACATGAACATTTTCATGGAAGTAACTATATAACAGAGAAGAGTGGCATTGTTTTACATCTTTGCAATTCACTTCTCTTAAATGTCTGCCTTAATAGAAGGCAGCTGGACTTTTGGTTATCTTCTGCATTCAGTTGGTTGAGATGTTACTTACTTACAATTTTCAGAATTTCATGTGTTGGTCATTTGGAAAATAATGGTTCTCTTAGTTACATAAATTTTCCAAATGTTGGCCCAGTTCATTATATAACATCTAAGAAAATTATATTCACATCACCACCTATCTCATAAAAAAAACCCCTCAAGTATTGGGCAGATGTTAAGCTCCTGATAGTAGACAGAACTTTTCCCAAAATCCTAATTTTCACTTCAAAGTTTGAATTTTATCACTGACAACAACTGCTGTTAGTTGTTTTCCTTGAAAGGCTCACTTCCTTCATATTCGAAAGAACGTCTGCCAAATAGCCAACTCTGACAACCAAAATTTGAGTCATTCTTTCATGTAAAAATGATGTTCCAAGAAAACAGCTAATTCAGCTTGCAACGGAATTGCATGAGTACTTTTTCTTGAGACAACCATTATATTTTAGCATATAGCAGAAGTACTGTATGCAAACTTTCCATCTCATCCCTCAGGTTAAAGTTACGTGCTCAGGGTCCAGATTTAATAACATAATTTTACTGATTTCACAAGGACATCTTAAGTGAACCTGGCTTCCTCCCCATTTATACTGCAAATGCACGGCAGTGAAGAATGAATGACGACTACAGCTTGGTGCCATCACCATGATTCATGCCAAGGTGCCGGCAGTTTTACCACCTTTGCTTTTTCACCATTAGTGAAAATGTCAGGATAAACCATGAGTGAAAAAGGGAATCAACAGTCTGACCATTTCAGGACATGTTGTTTGTTGCCAAGCTTTCATATAAGAGAGTCTCTGACTAGTGGATGCTGATGTCAGGCAAATACAGGCAAAATAACAAGCCCAACCACGTTTGCAGATCCATCCATTTGTAAGGTCTAATAAATACACTTCTACAGATGAGATATTAACGCAGACTTCTTGTCTGCACACAGATCTTTAACATGACAAGTTACTGTATTGTTAAGAAGTAGCAGTACTGTGATTTTTAAACTTTTCATCTAGTCGACATTAGGCAGTGCAACTATATAGCTTTTTGTAAAGTTTTTCAGACATTGTGTATGTTTCTCCAGCCAATCTCATACAGTAACTTATCCTTTAAGATACTTCAGTAGCTTTTTCCTGTGGTTTCTTTGGAGTTGATTCTTCCTATGAGTCAGAGAACTCTGATTAATTTCATCTTTTTAGCATTGTTAGACATAGATGGTGTAGCTGTGGGTTGAAACAAGTAGCCTTATAATCTTTTTTAAGCCATGATCCATTCTTAGGAAAAACATACTTGGTTTATTTTAGAATAAAGTTATTAAATTCTAAAACAAGTTGTAGTTAAATTTAAAAATTTAGAAGTTTTTGAGAAAATATTTAAAACATTATTGCATAACAAGACAACAAAATGTACTTATATTTATGCTCAGACAGAAAACTACAGGATTGTATAACAACTGCACAATATTGAGGATTGCTGTGATTACACAACGATAAAAAGTGAGTTAACTTCTAGAAACACAAATATTCATACCATAAACCTACCACCTTAGGAAATTCTAGAAAATTCAAGAATATACAGCACCATTCGATTAACATCAGTGATGTCATCACACATCATGTAGCCTCTGCACTTGTGAGAATGACTTGAAAAAGTAAATAACATCTTAGTATTAAAAAGTTTTGACTTTGAAGACCTCCCTATGCTTAGGCAACAGGGATAACAGCCGTAAACAAGCACTGTCCTACCCTCAAGGAGCAACCTGAAAAAGTAGGGAAAAACCCAATTACATGATTACTAATTTAATTACAATTTTTTGAGAAGTGCTAATGACAACATTCAAGTGAGTTGAGGGCCTCAAGGAAGGCTTAAGGAGTGGCGTGTTGAGACTGTTCTTCTCAGTGCTGACACTGGGTCAGTTGTTGAGTCCTTTAACTTCCTTTCCATTTTGATTGCCACTCTACCAGACCTCATCACTTCATGTCTGGACTACTGTGAAAGAACCCCCTAAGTGGTCTCTCTGCCCTCAAATTTCTCCATCCCCACAACCCATCTTTGTATCCTGCAGCCAGGTTAAATTTCCTAAAAGACTGTTTCCATCAGAGAAAGTACCATAAGGTGGTAAGGAACACTGACTAAGCAAGTCAGACCAGATTTTGAATCCCTGGCCCTTAATTTGTTGGTGTGTCCACAGGAAAGTTGTTCAGCCTCACTGAACTTTAGTTTCCTACAATGTAGGATAGGGTTTTATGTATCAGGACCACCCTACATACACTGGCAAAGAGTTTGGCACATTATCCAGCACACAAGTGGCACTCAATATTATTAGTTCATTTCTTCTAACTCAACTATGTTTCCATTAGCTTCTTCCTACAGTACACACTAGAATATGTTGCCATTATTTATTACAGTCAAAAGTCTGGGATGAGATTTTTAACCAAAGGTCAGTAAAAGAGGAGAGGCTGTGAAGAGTGTTGACTGAGTTGACCGGAATCCATACACTAGAGGTGGGGTTAGTCAGCTGATAAAATAACCAATTCTGTAAACATGATCTGAAAACATGTTACTGTTGTCAGCAGGAA